AATTCTGGCAACCTGCATGTATCTACCATTGCCCACTGCGCTTGAGGTTAGCACGACTCACCTAGTTTGGTCGGTGAAGGAAGAGAGGAAGAGGCAGGAACCGCACGTAGTTTAGATTTTGGTTTCGGACACGTTTTTGTTTGCGCGCGGTGTGTAGTGCATTTTTATTTCGGGTGCACCTGAGTTCCGGCAGTAGACCAGCCTGGTACCAGTCCGCCGTTCGGTCCTTATCGGAAGATTATGTTCGTTTCCACTTGCGACGCGATTGTTCCGGTGGCGCATGCCTCAAGGCATCCGCATAGTCCGCTCAACCGGTACAGCATCGACCGCGTAGTGATCGGCATGAGTGCTGCCAGATTCGCTATCGCTCATGATGTAAGGCTCTGGAATGCGCGTTGCCCAAACGTGGTGAATTACGACACGTTCTCGCATGTTTGTCGTAGCCGTGCAATCATGCGTGCGTGCTCCCATGAAGTGTGCGTTTTGGTAGAGGGGTACGGTGCCTAGTGTCAGGTCGTGCGTGTTTTTCTTCTTCCCTCCACCTCCATTTTCAACCGCGCCCTCGGTTCTGCTGATCCTGACCCCACTCGTGCTCCTGCTGCTCCTCCCCGCGGTTCTTCTTCATCTGTGTGTTCCCGATTCCCCCCTTGTTTCTCCACGCGTGTCCCTTCCGTCTCGTTTTTTTCCTCAGCATTATTCCTCCGTCTCCTGCCCTCCTTTGCCTTCTTCGTACTATACAGGTACAGTGAGATCCCCCTGTCATCTTGCGTGCAGGCCCAGGGACCCGGAGCGGGGAGACCGAACGCCCATGTGCCATTCGAGAATGGGGCTCAATTGACCAGCGCAGAAACACGGGGTCCACTGCGCCGACACATTTGCGCGCAAGCTGCGTGCGTAAGATGGCTCGTAAGCGACTTCGCCTCCATTGTCGCAGGGTGCGCTCGCGGCCCGCGTGAGAAGCCGCGGGAGCTCGCTGTGTCAGCCTGCATCAGCGCCCAGTTCCCGCACCGGCCACCCGGCTGCGCTGTCAAGTAGGACCTTGGGGGGGTCGGGCTTTTGGGGGGGGCCGAGCCGGGGCGGGGGAGCGCACCCCCAACATATTCATTGACAGTGGACTTCCAGTGCCACATGCGTATCGAGAAAAAAAACAGAGAAAGGAGGAAGAGAGAAAGGAACAAGTAGACAGAGAAACAGGGAGGGACAGAGAAGGGAGAGAGGAAGAGGCGGGGAGGGCAGCAGAGAAAGGGAAGAACGACGCCGACGGGGGTGGGGAATGTGAGTTTCGACCGGGATTCGTCAAATGGGCCTGCGGGGGGGGCGGCTCGGAACGGGAGGGATGGAGCTCCGATTTCCGTTTTGACAACAGGGCCCCATTGTCAACTTCACAATCGGGGTGGCCCAGCAAAGCGGCGGTATGGAGCCCAGAGCCCCGATGGCCTATTCGACAATGGAACCTCATTGTCTTGTTTTAAGCTTGGGCGGCTCATCTCCCACCCTGCGGTGTTTGCCCGTTTGAGAAAGGGGCCTCCTTGTCTGAGGTCCCAGCCCGTCGCCGGGTGCCCGTTTGACGAATGGCCCTCACCATCACATGGTACTTTTCGCGGCGACTTCGACACTCACCGTGCCATGGGGGGGGAGAAAGAGCGGGGAGGTAATATCTCGCACGCTGGTGGCCGCATCGGTTCGGCGGATTGTGTTCTTCCGTGCCCTAAGAGAAGAAGGGGAAAGCAGCAATGGAGGAGGGAGCAAGAGGAGACGCATCAGCAGCAGCGTTGCAAAACGCCCACTCGCGGCCAGTGGCCGCCGCCTAGTGCCCTGGCTTTGTGGGGCGCTCGGCCCGACCGGGCGGTGGCCACGCTTAGAAGCCGTGCGCTGGTGGCTCCATCGGGTCGGCGGACACACACACACACACACACGTACACTCTCTCTCACACACACGTACACTCTCTCTCACACACACACACGCACCACACACACACACACACACCTTTTTTGCGTTGGCGGCTAGGCAGTGGGACTGCGCTGGCGATGAAGCGTTGGATGTCAATCGAACGCGAATTCGGCCACCCATGCAGGGAGGAAAAGGAGGAAGCGCCCGGCGCCGGCGGGAGGGAGCTGGAAGCTGGGCACGCTCAGAGCGGGGCCGGGCGGCGGCGGGGGGTTGGCGCCAGGGGGGCGGACCCAGCGGCGGCGAGGCGGCGGTGGGGTGGGGTGGGGGGGGGGGGACGGCGGCAGGAACGCCCCTGGGGGGAACAGTGCCCGGCGGAGGTCGGTGTCGAAGGCGAAAGCACAAGTGCCAGCGGGCCGAGGGTACCGAGGTGACGCGTGACTTGTGCGAAGGCACCCGGGGCGGCGGCCAGTGCAGGCCCAGCTCCGGCAGAGGGGTCCGCCTGGGGTGGCCCGCTCCCCGAGGCCGCCGCAGGCTCGCCGCGCCCGGTCCACCCCGAGCGCCTCCCCCGCTGAGGCGGAAGGCGCGAGCCCGCAAGCGCCCAAGGCTTGGCGAGGACGACGAGGAGGAGGAGGAGGAGGAGGACCCGGGGAGAGCAAGGAACAAAGGGGCGGAGAAGCTCATTGTTGGTGAGAAGGGGCGTCTGCATGTCACCAGCATGGTCTTCGTTGACGCCTGAACTGATCGCTTCGATGGACAGCAGTGCTTCTTTGTGAGCGATGTTGGACAGTGTTCTGCACCGTAGGGCGGCTATCCTGGCTAGGATCTGAGCTGGGACAGAAGAAAGTCAGTGGCCGACCCTGAAATACCGTTCCACAAGGTAGACCGCAGCTCCTCCTGCAAGGGCTCGGGCGTTTCAGTGTGGATTCACCAGCATGTATCAAGCTGCCACCGAGCCCTGGCGCGAGAGCTCAGGAGAGCAGGGTCCTATTCCAGGTGGGCCCTGACGTTGACGCTCTGCTTGCTGGTACGCTCTTTCAGTTTGGAGCCTCAAACAGGACGAGGAAGAGGAGGTCGATGAGGAGCCGCGAGGAGCTGCGCAGACAGCCGCCGGCAAGCGGCCCAGAGCGGGCGAGGGCGGCGAGGGCGGCGAGGAGGAGGAGGGGCAGGGGCAGGGGACGCCACGGCCAGCCAGGAAGCGGCCCAGGCTCGGCGAAGAGGACGAGGGCGGCCTGGAGGCGCCGGGGGATCCACGAAGTACCTGTATGCCCAGGAATCCACAAAGTACCTGTATTCAAGCAGTGGCGAATCGTCATGGCTCGCCTATAGGCCCACCAAACAGTGTTCTAAGAACCTTTTGTGGTCTGCACGAAATGTTCTTAGAACATGTTTGGCTGGGACTGTCTTGATTTAGCACATCGGGTTTATGTTCTAAGAACATTGTTTTGTTATTAGAACATTTTCGGGTTCTAAGAATATTTCGTCATTGCCAATAGCCAATAGGAATGCCGGGACAATTAGTCCCTGCTCAATGTTGTATGCCCAGCGCTTTTTTTCCAGCGCAACAATCCGCCAAGGGAGGTTGTATGCTTGCCAAAACATGTGTTGGCAATCGATCCATTCCCCAGCGCGAATAGCCACGTCAACGGCAAGATGCGTTTGTCACGGAATACTTCTTACAGGCGGTGTGGACATGAATCGGGTTATTCAGAGATCATGGTTGCCAGTCGGACGTGCATAAGGTACAGCGGCAGTGTTCGAAGACCAAAACATTTGCATCAGCATAAATTTCTGGAGTTCCGCGCGGATTTCCGGGATTTGCGCCAGAACCCTTTTGGCGGCGCCCACGGCGCCGTCCTTGGCGCGCCCGAGGGGGGTCCATCGCAGGTCCTCAAGAAGCCTGCGCGGACCGTCGAAAGTTCATGTGTGTGCCACTTTTGCTCCTTCTAAGTATTGTCTGGCACAGGGCATTTGGCATTTGGCAAGATCCTGCCGTGGGCGGACCAGGTATCCAAGGTACTGCAGAATCTTTCGTGCACGATGTGTATGAGGAGCACGCCTGCACTCGCGCTGCTGTTCGACGTTGCAGATCTGGAGTCGCCCACCGCTCCCGTAGATGCTTGCTCAGATCTACAGACTCTTCAACTCAGGCAGTGGTTCCTGCTCCAAGTGGTTTTACTCCCACTCGCATTCCCACTCCCGTCTCTGCTGGCGCTCAGGCGAGGCACCCTGGAGAAGAGGAGGAAGACCAGCAAAGCGACAGCGAAGCTGAGGACGATGGCGAAGATCTGATCGAGGAGGGAGCTAAAGAGGTGGCGCCAGCCGCCGACCCTGCTGAGAAGGACTGGCTGCCCAGCAGAACGGGGGGGTTACGAGCCCCCGCTGATTTCTGGAAAGGGCAGTAGTCCAGGAGTGTTTGGTGCAGTCATGCGCTGGTATGGTCTCCGGCGCTCTGTGTGGCTCGGTACACCTCCAGTTGCTTCGTCTTGCTGCGACCAGGGACGTGTGACAGAGGTCCCGATCATTGCCAGGGGGATCTTCACCGGGGGGGTAGTTCTATGGCACGGTGGCTCCGCTGATTTTTGTTTTGAGGCTCTAGTTGTTCGTCGACGCTTCTGTTGGCACGACGCCCCAGCTGGAATGCAGCGATGCCTTGGAGAATCCCAGCGCCCCTGGTGATCAGAGCTCAGGGTGCCAGTGCCACCCTCTCCTGCTGGCCCACGCCTCTGAAGTTCATGACAGGCTGTGGGGCCGCGTGCAGGCCACGTGCTGCGCTGCACAGGTGGGCTGGGGCACCCTGGTGAAGCATTGACGCGACCCTGATACACCTTAGGCGATGCTTAAGAAAACCCAAGTTTTCGGCCAGAGTCTCGAATATTCTTAATGTTTCAACGTAAATCCTAAGATTTTAATAGAGATGTTGGGTTTTTACTCAAGTTCTGAGACTATGAATTTCTTAACCTATGATTTCTTAAGCATTTCGCAGGGTGTAGATCGGAAGCTTTGGGGCCCGATCTGTGGATCGTCAGATGCCATGGCCGCGGCGCCGCCTCCGGCCTTGCCCGAGGACCGCCCCCGTCCCGACGCGCTGCCAAAGCAGCTGCACCGGCAGATGCTGGAGGCGAAGCAGACCGCCCTCAGTTCTACTCGGGAGGGGAAAAAAGCCACGCAGACACGATTCCTCGTCGACCCCCGGGGAAATATGGGAACCTATGGGAAGTGGGGGGGAAGACGAACACCCAGAGAATGGGGAAAACTACGGGGGATCGTGGGACTCATGTCTACAGTGGAGACCCATGCTAAGAAACACCCTGCTTGCCTCCAGGGTGCCCTTGGTTTCTTGGGTTTCGATGGTTTTGCTGTGGAGGGCGTGACGTTCCCACACCAAAAATCAATGGACGTCCTGGGGTCTCGTGGTTGGGTTTCTTGTGAAAGGCTTCTTGTGGTCGAGCCCCTACTGTACCTCTATTTGTGTGTCCCTGGGCCCCTGCAGTGAGTAAGGGCTCCCTCGAGGGCGCGAAGTTATTCGCGCTTCGCGCTTCGCGGTCCTCGTTCCTTCTCCCCCTCCTCCTCGTCCTCCTATTCTCCCTTTGGGAGGGCGGCGCGAGAGCGCGAAGTTATTCGCGCTTCGCGCTTCGGGGAGCGCGAAGCGCGAAGTTGGGAGCTGAGGCGCTCCAGACAGGGGACTCGCCTTCGGCGCGCCTCGCCCTGGCGGAGGCCGGCGGGAGGCCGGCGGAGGCCGGCGGGGCTCAGAGCGGCGTCGGGGCGCCGGCGGCAGCGCGCGGAAGGGCGGCAGGGGGCGACGGAGGTAAGGCGACGACGTGTATCAGGAGGGGTAAAAATCAGAGCCCCGAATCATCAGGGGTCACTCGGGTCAGGGCTAACTCGGGTCCGTGTTTCGGGATTCCGAGCCCGAGTTGCCCGGGACCCGAGCTACCCCGGATAGCTCGGGCGCCCAATGTATCAGGAGGGGTAAAAACACAGACATAAAGATCTGTCGACTCCCGTGATCATGTTGGAGGATCTGGGAAATGGGAATGATGACGAAACTCCAGGAGATATCGACTATACGTAAGATCGAAGAAGGAAAATCATCAGAAACATAATTAAGCATTTGGCGCTCCGCGCGGATTTCTTGGATCGGCGGTGGGCTCCACTGGCGGCGCCTCCGGCGCCACCCATGGCGCGCTCCGCGCGCAAGGGCGGGGGGTCCGGCGCAGATCCAAGATATCCGCGCGGAGCGCCAACATTTTATGTTTATGCCGCTTGTTTTTCTTCTCCAAGACGTCGGCGGAGGTAAGTCGACTACGCGTAAGAGTGAACCTACGCAAGAGTGGCCTTTGGTGCGGGCTCACTGGGGCCCCCCCGATCGCGGAGCGCGATGCGATAGAGGCCGCTTGCGCGTTTGGATTTGGCCACCTTGCGCCCCCCTTAAACTGCGCACTTCAGGTCACTCTTGCCCAGGGTCACTCTTGCGTGTAGCCGAGTAAGTCGAAACGTCAACCGTAGGGTCCTGGCCACGTGAAGGTAGTGGCAGTATTGTTCGAATGGCGACTTGATCCAGGCTTTGTTTGTCGGTTGGGTGCTCGCTGCCACGTCGGACTGACAGTTGTGTCTCTCCACTGGGTGTTGGATGTTGCCATTGACAGAGTCAGCAAGCGTCCGTGAGCGTGTAGGTTGCGTCAAATTCTTGCACGCTCGGGCGGTATAAGCATAAGTGTTCGGAGCTCCGCGAGGCTTTCTTGGATCTGCGCTGGGCCTCCCTTGGCGCTGCCGCCTCTGGCGCGCGGAGCGCGCCAGATCGGGAAATTAACATCCAGCACCGAACCAGGAACTCAGCACGGACCTCCGAAAGTCTATGTTTATGGCATATGGTGTTCCCTTAAAGTCTTGCACGCTCGGTGCACACCTAACTATAGCAATAGAGATAATGTCGTACAGCGTAGTCCGATGTACCATAAAACAGCATTCGGTGCAATACCGTTCGTATTCCTGTTGGATGGGAGCGTTCGGCGAAACCAGAGGGCGAGTCAGACGATCGCATGGGAAGATGTCGGCTTACGCTGAGCGATTCCAGAAAGCGATTGGTCACACAGGATGTCACAGGCAAGCAGTTCTTGTTGCATCCTCACCTCACGCCCAGTGAGCATCCTTAATGGGTTTATTTCTGATGTCGTTTCGCATCGCTGCGTCTAGAAGTTAAGTATCTGATTCGGAGGGTGCGTTGGTTTAGGAGGAGATGGGGAGCGGGATCAAGAGGAGGTGGAGAAGAGGAGGACAAGGAGGAAGAGGGAAGACGAGGCGGAGAAGGATATTATCGACGCGCGTGACGGAGAGCAGGGGAAGCTGCCTGCGCCACTTCCCGTCATCGTGCCAGCCCAGCATTCTGGGTGGCGACCGTTCGAGGGGGCACGGGAGGCAGTCACATGTGACACCCTGTATCTCGCGGCTTGGGAGAGCCGTGATGATGATGATGAAGATGACGATGATGTTGATGACGATGATGATGATGATGATGATGATGATGATTATGATGATGATGATGATGATGTTGATGCTGTTGATGCTGATGTCGATTCTGATGATGATGATGATGATGATGATGCAAATGATGATGTTGATGTTGCTGATGATGGTGATTCCGATGATGATGCTGCTGTTGTTGATGAGGTGGAGGAGGAAGAGACGACGGAGGAGGAGGAACATGAAGGCAGTCGCACGTGCCGTGTCTCGTCTATGAGGAGATCTCATGGAACTCATTGGGGCCGCATGTGGGTGCCCTGGCCTCCTGTGAGGCAGTCTTAGTGGTCCCGTGTTGCCCTTTGGGCCGTCTTGGGGCTTTCTGAGGCCGTCTTGGGGCTCTCCTAGGCCGCTATGATGCCCCTTTGGCAGTAATGGTTGGTGCCCGTGGGCCGTCGTGAGGCCGCCTTGGCGCCGTTTTGGGCAGTCGACGTTTGGGTCCCACAGGAGGCCCTCTCGGCCGTGTTCGGGCCGTCTTGGATGCCTCTTGTGTCGTCGCGGGGTTCGCTTGGGCCACCTTTGGACCCTCGTTGGGGGCCTTTCGGGGCTTCTTGGGCCGTCGGGAAGGGTCGTGGCCTCGGGAGCAGAGGGTGTGCATGCGGCTGTCTGGTGGTAGAGGGGGTGCCCGTTCTTGGACTTCCGAGATCCCAGCACGCCCACATCGTGCAGGCATCGTGCAACGCAATGTGGCATCACAAGCTCAGCGTGCTATCACCGTTGTCAGTCACGTGTTGTGGACGCTCGCGGCTATGGTTGAGAATGCGAATGTAGTGACTAAGTGTTCCAAGCTTCACAAGTTGGGCTTCGAATGCCGCAGCGTATTAGAAGTAGACGTATACGTAGAAGTAGAAGTAGAAGTAGACGTAGTAGTGGTCGTAGTACAAGTCGTAGCCGTAGTAGTAGTAGTAGTAGTAGTAGTAGTAGTAGTAGTAGTAGTAGTAGTAGTAGTAGTAGTGGTAGTAGTAGCAGTAGAAGAAGTAGTAATAGTAGTAGTAGCAGTAGCAGTAGTCGTAGTAGTAGTAGTAGTAGTAGTAGTAGTAGTAGTAGTAGTCGTAGTAGTAGTAGTACTAGTGGGAGTCGTATTAGTAGTCGCAGTAGTAGTAGTAGTAGTAGTAGTAGTAGTAGTAGTAGTAGTAGTAGTAGTAGTAGTAGTAGTAGTAGTAGTAGTAGTAGTAGTAGTAGTAGTAGTAGTAGTAGTAGTAGTAGTAGTAGTAGTAGTAGTAGTAGTAGTAGTAGTAGTAGTAGTAGTAGTAGTAGTAGTAGTAGTAGTAGTAGTAGTAGTAGTAGTAGTAGTAGTAGTAGTAGTAGTAGTAGTAGTAGTAGTAGTAGTCGTAGTAGTAGTAGTAGTAGTAGTAGCCGTAGTCGTAGTATGTAGTAGTATGTAGAAGTAGAAGAAGTATACTCATAAGTATCAGTAGTAGTAGTAGTAGTAATATTAGTAGTAGTAGAAGTAGTAGTAGTAGTAGTAGTAGTAGTAGTCGCCGTCGTAGTAGCAGCAGTAGTAGTAGTAGTCGCCATTGTCGTAGAAGTAGCCGTAGCAGCAATTGTAGTACAAGTAGTAGTAGTAGTCGTAGTAGTAGTAGTAGTAGTAGTAGTAGTCGTCGTCGTGGTAGTAGTAGTAGTAGTAGCTGTTGTTGTTGGTGTAGCAGTGAAGTAGTAGTAGTAATAGTAGTAGTAGTAGTAGTAGTAGTAGTAGTGGTAGTGGAGGTATCAACAGCAGTAGCAGTAGTAGTACTAGTAGCAGTAGTAGTAGTAGTAGTAGTAGTAGTAGTAGTAGTAGTAGAAGTAGAAGTAGTAGTAGTCGTAGCCGTAGTAGTAGTAGGAGCAGGAGTAGTATTCGCAGGAGTAGCAGCAGTAGCCGTAGTATTAGTAGTAGTAGTAGTAGTCGTCGTCGTCGTAGTAGTAGTAGTAGTAGTAGTAGTCGTAGTCGTAGTAATAGCAGCAGAAGCAGTAGTAGTAGTAGTAGTAGTAGTAGTAGTAGTAGTAGTAGTAGTAGTAGTAGTAGTAGTAGTCGTAGTAGTAGTAGTAGTCGTAGTAGTAGTAGTAGTAGTAGTAGTAGTCGTAGTAGTAGTAGTAGTAGTAGTAGTCGTAGTCGTAGTCGTAGTAGTAGTCGTAGTCGTAGTCGTAGTCGTCGTAGTCGTAGTCGTAGTCGTACTCGTCGTCTTTGTCGTCGCAGTCGTAGTCGTAGTCGTAGTCGTAGTAGTAGTAGTAGTAGTAGTAGTAGTAGTAGTAGTAGTAGTAGCACTAGCAGTAGCAGTAGCAGTAGCAGTAGCAGTAGTAGTAGTAGTAGTAGTAGTAGTAGTAGTAGTAGTAGTAGTAGTATTAGTAGTCGTAGTCGTAGTCGTAGTAGTAGTAGTAGTAGTAGTAGTAGTAGTAGTAGTAGTTAGTAGTAGTAGTAGTAGTAGTAGTAGTAGTAGTAGTAGTAGTAGTAGAGTAAGTAGGAAGTAGGGAGTAGGAGTAGGAGTAGGAGTAGGATAGGAGTAGGAGTAGGAGTAGGAGTAGGAGAGTAGGAGTAGTAGTAGTAGTAGTAGTAGTAGTAGTAGTAGTAGTAGTCGTAGTAGTAGTAGTAGTAGTAGTAGTAGTCGTAGTAGTAGTAGTAGTAGTAGTAGTAGTAGTAGTAGTAGTAGTAGTAGTAGTAGTAGTAGTAGTAGTAGTAGTAGTAGTACTAGTACTAGTACTAGTAGTAGTAGTAGTGTAGTAGTAGTAGTAGTAGTAGTAGTAGTAGTAGTAGTCGTCGTCGCTGCTGACGGGGCTTTCGCGCGGTGTGGCACGCCGACGGCGTAGTCTCGGTGATCGTGGTGGCGGTGGCCGTGGCGGTGGTCATGGTCGTGGTCGCCCGCGTCGTGGTGGGCCCCATTTCCGGCCGCGGGACGGGGCAGGCTGCCACTTTGCCGTCTGAGCCTGGGGGTCAGGGACCCTTGCGGGAGGGCCGCCCTTCCGAGGCCCGAGCTCGCCCGTCGCTGGCTGGGCCCATCTTTGCCGCGACGCCGCCGACAGCTCCCGCGCGGCCCGTCAAATTGCGCATTGAAATTCCGATATCGTATTTTACGCGTTCTCTATCCCACACGGTTCCATGGGCAAGGGTATCCCCATTTGGCATGGGCAGTGCATTGCATATGTTTCTAATCCGCGAGAAGCGGCCGAGTTGATGAAGCACAAGGTGGTAAATTATGCAGAGCATAACCTGCAAAGTCACATGACGAAATTCAGCAGCCTTCTTCGCGAAGCCCAACAACCACTTTTATTAGATCGCATGGCCACTTCAGAAGATGTTCGCCGAGTCCTGGTCCAACGTGGTGAGCGTAACCTTTCGAAAAGTTCTGCACTTTAGAGAAACGAAGGGCGAGCTGCCGCCCACCCACCCACCAGGTCGGCTGCGAGCTCAAGTCCTTCAAGCTCTCCCCAGGCCCGCGGTGCAAAATGCTCCAGGGGAGGAGGGCGAGCCCGCCTCCGACGTCGCGGGAGGTGGATTCTTCGAGAAGGTAAGCACAGGAAATGTCTTGTTCCAGCCCCACCCTGGGTCTGGCAAAGCAGTTGGCACCGAGTCCTTGTGACAGCTATTTCACTCGGTGTTTTTGAAGCTTTACGGGCAGAGATCGCGATGACCCAGCAGGACATCAACATGTTGAATAACATAATGCATAGCTCGACCGACGAAGGCTCGAGCAGGGCCGAGGGCACAGCTGTGCCGACGGAGGCGCCCAGCGACACCATGCTTTAGAGGTGCGGGCAAAGGCAGCCTTGTCCAGAATGCTTGGGGTCAACATTTGGACGCTAAATGTAGCCACCCGACGCAGTACTTCGACATCGGGGGTCAGGGTTAAGATGTGATCGACGTCGCGGATAAGGTCGACCAGGCTTCCAATACCGATCCGAGTATCCTGAGTGAT